ACACACACACACACACACACACACACACACACACACACACACACACAAAGGACAGTCATACATTTTGATATTTGAGCCATTCCTAAAGATTGGGGGTTTTCTAAAACTAAAAAAAAAATCTAGAAACCTTGCCTGCGACCAATCATGGAGCCACGTGAACTGATCGTGGCTGCACCTGGGGGGAGGGTAGGGATGAGGGGCATGCCACCTAATGATCAAGCCCTATAATTAGCTTCTCATTAGAGCCGTGATGGTGATGTGTGCTGTCTAAAATCCAATGTTGTGGGTAGAGAGAATGAGTTTGTGACTAGGAGAGACTAAACTTTTGTTTTCCTTACCCAGTATAAATATATATATATATATTTAATCTATTTTTATTAGAAGTTTTTCTGCTCTTTCTTACATAAAAGAACCCCAAGCATGCATCTTTCATGTGTGTAAATAATTCATTTCTGGGCTAATTTCAAAAGAATCCCAACATTGCTGTATAGAAAGAGAACTAGCTTGCACATTTTAGGTCTGTGAAATTTTGTGAGACTTTTCCTGCACTGGACAGTAAAAAAAATAATAAAAGACAAAAACAAATTAAAAAAAAATTTTAAGCCACAACTAAAAAGGCACATAGGGAATTATGTTAAATGTGTTTGTGTCCTTAGGCAAAGCTGTGGGAGTCTTGAAATGTCACAGTAGTAAATAACTTATTACTTTTTGACAAGTTCTTTTTTTCTGTTGGAACACTGAATTCTTCTGTGCATATGTACATATGAATACAAATCGAAGGCCTCTACCTCCTGGAGTTATACAACTTGGCTTGTTTACCTCCACATGCTGATGATGACTATTTTTTTTTTTTTTTAAGTTCAGTGTGGAGACTTGAAACTTGAATGTCCCTTCCAACTTTTATATTAAAAATAAAAAGAAAATTGAAGATCATTTTTCACCTGTACAAGGAATATTAATGGATCGTCTTAAAATTGGTCTAGGAAAAAACCTTGGTGTGTGTTATGGACAATTAACTGTTAAAGTTATTGTAAGTTATCTGTATTTAGCAGAGTATTTTCAACTTGAGTGATCTGAGCTGAATCTGAAGACTATTAATAAGTTATGTTTGGAAGTTTTAACTTCAATGAAGTAATTATTTGCTGTGAAAGAAACAAACATTGAATTACTAAACAAAGATGGTGCAATATCTTTGTTTTTTTTTATGAGGCTCCTGAGAATCAACCCAACTGAAGCATTTCAATTCACTTGAATGAGAAACGTGTTTAGTATCAAAAGAGCCCAAGAAGACACTGGTGTGAAAGGTACAATCTCAGAGGTTGGTCAATTACCGTGGCACACTTTGTACAATGTAGATTTGAAGTACAGTGGTGAAAACATTAAATGTGACATTTGAAAAAGATGTGTCATCTGTTTTATTTCAGTTTCTTTCCTTTGTTTTCTCTTCAATACAACTCACATCCTGACTTTGCAAAGTTTTGAGACATTTCCTATTTATATTTCCACTTTGATCTTTGAGGAAATTGGTTGTTTTTAAAAATCTTCCCAGAAACTTTAGATTGACAAAATATATTGAAAATTTAGTTAACCGATATCAAAGACATGTGATTTAAATATACACAATATAGAAGTCTCTAATCCAGTGGTTTTCAAACTTTTTTTTCTTTGAAGCAATATCTTGTACTCAAATATATTAAAGAAATAAAAGTAGATTGCTTTGTATGAAGCAGACTGGTGAAGGGACTGGACACCTTCCTCCTCTTCACTTCTGCCTCCTACACCTAGCAGCCCAAAGGTACTTTCAGCTAAGGAAGAAGTCTCAGCCCATTGGTGGTGTAATCAAGGCCTGAAACTAGACTGCCTCACTTCAGAATACTTTGCCTGAAGCTAAAGCAACATTACTCTTGAGTTTGTAGGTGGCATGTACTTCTCCTTATCTTTCTTTATTTAGCAAAATGAATGGATTTTTTTTCCTGACATTGAGGGAGTTGGCTATTCTAATTCATGTAAATTAATATAAATACACATTATTTTATTCAACAAAATTTTGAATACTTAGTATAAGAATTACTTATCAGGAAGCCATATTAATAAATATCAGTAATGCTTAGATAAGGAAACCAGTTTCATCACTTAAAAGAGAGCATTTTGAGTTACACATATGATTTCGAAACTAAATTCCTGCCGGGCGTGGTGGCTTACACCTCTAATCCCAGCACTTTGGGAGGCCAAGGCAGGTGGATCACTTGAGGTCAGGAGTTCAAAACCAGCCTGGCCAACATGGTGAAACCCCATCTCCACTAAAAATATAAAAATTATCCAGGCACGGTGGCGGGCACCTGTAATCCCAGCTACTCAGGAGGCTGAGGCAGGAGAATCATTTGAACCTGGGAGGTGGAGGTTACAGTGAGCTGAGATCATGCCAGTGCATTCCAACCTTGACAACAGAGTGAGACTCTGTCTCAAGAAAAACAAAAGAACTAAATTCCTTTACAGATAAGTATTAGAGAAAATATAGTGACCTGCTCTTGACTGGAACCTACTTAGAAAACCAAGGAGATTTGTGCCTTACTGCCTTATTGTTGGGAATTGCAAAAATGTGAGTTCTCATAGCCAGTAGAGTCAGTGTGGACAGGTAAATTAGGGTTATAATCACCTACAATTTGTAGGCAGTTTAAGAACCTGTGAAAGATGGAGATAATCTCTTGTGATGACTCATAAGGTTTATAACTTTTGTTTTGTTTTCCCTCTCTGATATGTTACTTAAAATATTACTTTATATTAAAATAAAAACTATATTAATAGAATGTAAAATTGCATGAATTTTGAAATTAAGACAACTTTTAAGATATTTTCAGAAAACAAATTTAGTTTACTCTCAACAGAGCCTCATCAAAGGCAGTTCTAAAGGGGACTTTACTTCAAGAAGATGATGTACCGGGCCGGGCGCGGTGGCTCAAGCCTGTAATCCCAGCACTTTGGGAGGCCAAGGCGGGTGGATCACGAGGTCAAGAGATCGAGACCATCCTGGTCAACACGGTGAAACCCCGTCTCTACTAAAAATACAAAAAATTAGCTGGGCATGGTGGCACGTGCCTGTAATCCCAGCTACTCAGGAGGCTGAGGCAGGAGAATTGCCTGAACCCAGGAGGCGGAGGTTGCAGTGAGCCGAGATTGCGCCATTGCACTCCAGCCTGGGCAACAAGAGTGAAACTCCGTCTCAAAAAAAAAAAAAAAAGAAGATGACGTACCTTCAAGAGGAAGAAAAACAATAACTAAAAGCAGATATCTCTGAGAATGGTGAACAAAGAAATTGGTGAACATATGGGGGAAACTAAGCAGATATATTGCATATAATGTTAGGTTTATAGGGATGATAAACTACAGCAGCACCTTTAAACTAGGGGTACACACACCCCTGAGGATACATGAAGACTCTCCAGGAGGTACATGGGCACATATGTTTGTTTGGGTCTTTGCGTCTTTTTGAGACAGTCTTGCTCTGTCACCCAGGCTGGAGTGCAGTTCCTTGATCGTAGCTCACTGCAGCCTCAACCTCCTGGGCTCAAGTGAGCCTCCCACCTCATCCTCCCAAAATGCTGGGATTACAGATGTGAGCCACTGCACCCAGCCAAGTACATATGTTTCTAAGCGAGCCAACTTCACTTTTTTTTTTTTTTTTTTTTTTTTTTTTTTGAGACAGGGTCTCACTCTGTTGCTCAGGCTGGAGTACAATGGTACAATCTCAGCTCACTGCAACCTATGCTTTTTAGGTTCAAGCAGTTCTGCCTCAGCCTCCCAAGTAGCTGGGATTATAGGCACACACCACTACCACCCAACTAATTTTTGTATTTTTAGTAGAGATGGGGTTTCAGTATGTTAGCCAGGATGGTCTTGATCTCTTGACCTCGTAATCCAACCGCCTCAGCCTCCCAAAGTGCTGGGATTACAGGTCTGAGCCACCACACCTGGCCATCTTCACTATTTTTTCCCTCCATTCCGTTTCTGAGTTTTATTTTCACATCCCTCTTCACAGTTATTGAGGGAATGTGTTCTCTTTCCAGGTTCACAAGGGGGCATAGTTTTAAGGGCAAGAAATTCCTAGTGCCATGCCCCCCTCCCATCTCTCTCCATCCGGGATATTTAACGGTTTATGTTTAAATTTTGCGGGTGCAGGAAGAAACTAAGAGTCAGTCACTCCAGCAGAGGTTCTAAGGAACTCTTTTCATTGGCCTGAGGTCTTAGAGAAGGTGGGGGTTCCTCCCAGGTTAAAAGTCCCCTTCTTCCACAGCCCTTCGGACTCCATGTTTGGATCCCCTTCCACGAACACTCCCTTCGTGGAAGCTATTTTTTTCTATCCTGGATTTTCCCTCTGGAAAATCTCTTGTGGAAGCCTGTCTTCCCCTCCTAAACTCCAACTCTCACTCTGTTCCCTTCCACTCAGTGTGGAAGCTGCTTTCCTCTCCTGGATTCCGTCTTTCTGAAGTCTCTCACTCAGTGTGAGAGTTAGCTCCTTGTTTCTCTCTCCTTCTCCCGTTTTTCTCTCTCTCTAAATGACTTTCTACAAACACTTTTGAGTCTGGCATTTACTGTGTACTGCACCGTGGTCCCCTCTCTCATTCTTGAGAGGGCAGGAGACCAAGAACCTGGAGAAACGTCCTCTCGGGAGCTGAGGGCACGCTGAACCCCAGTATTACATTATCATTCTCCCACTTAGACAAATTTCTTACACATCTTAGATAGTAATGTGGTACAATATACCTAAGTATAAAAACTTCCTGAGTTGCAAACTAAAGGGACGATCTGAAACAATTTTTGTTTATAGAGACCTCACCTTTTGTATCTCTACTGTCAGGTAATCCATCAGT